TGGGATTACATGCGTCTGCCACTATGCCCAGCTAATTTTTGTATTTTGAGTAGAGACAGGGTTTCACTGTGTTGGCCAGGCTGGTCTCAAACTCCTAGCCTCATGATTCACCCGCTTCGGCCTCCCAAAGGGCTGGGATTACAAGCGTGAGCCACTGTTCCTGGCCCCGAGGCATATCTTGACAAAAGAAAACCCTCTTGAGTTAAGTGCATTTCTAGAGTCCAGGGATAGGTCACCTCTCATCCCCACTCAAAACCTGCAGAAAGCCAGGGGAAGGCACACAGGCAAAAGACATCCCAATACAAGGAATCTCCAACTTCTCAGGGGACAGAAACATCTCCCCACTTATACAGCTCCTGAGGCCAAAGGCCTGGTGCTGTTTTCAGCCTTCACACAAAAGGCAGCTGGGACTCATAAAGATTAGCACAAAAGGAAACATCTAGTTTCAAATGAGCTATAGAATGAGTGTCAATGCACGTCCTCTGCCTCCCACTTCAAGCGATTCTCCTGCCTCAGCCTCCCCAGTAGCTGGGATTACAGGCACCTGCCACCATGCCCAGCTAATTTTTGTATTTTTAGTACAGACGGGGTTTCATGTGTTTACTTATGCTGTCCCTTAGAGATCATAAAGCAGGACTCCAGCGGTTGAAAAAAACCGCTAATTACTCTATGACTTCCTGGAGGACCTCAGCTCAAAATTATACAGCCCTCATCTATAGGAAATGCCTCTTCCTGCAGCCTAGTGCCCTCATTGACCTGTCCTCAGCTCTAACAGCAAGACCGCTGAGCACTTCCCTTACATGATTAATATTCACAGACTTTATGTCATTATAAAATTATCACTACAAAAAATAAAAATTTTTAAAAAGCCAGGCATGATGGTTTACACACATGGTCCCAGATACTGAGAAGTCTGAGGTAGGAGGATCACTTGAGCCCAAGAGGTCGAGACTAGGGTGAGCTATGAGCGTACTACTGCACTCCAGCCTGCAGGGCAGGAGTGAGACCCTGTCTCAAATGAAAAAGGAAACACACACACCCACACAAAACTGTCAGACACGCCCAGCCAAACAATTGTGTGTACAGTGCTTCTCAGCTGTCTGCACATCAGAATCAGCTGAAGAATTAGTATCTTTTAGAGGTACCCCCAGGAGCTTCCAATGTGCCCTGGAGGTAAGGAGCCTCTGACATAGTAGATGTGTGCTACTTGTGCCATCTGAGTCTTGCCTCAAAATTGGATCATGAAGACACATTGTCTTCTTCACTGGCTTCATCTCCCTTGCCCAAATTCTAGGTGGTGAGGAGAGGCCACAGGTAGATTCTTCTGCAGGGTGCCTTCCGGAGATCTTGCAACTGAATCTTACATTCTATGATTGTTTTACATGGCTCAATAATTGATACGTGCAAACTGCATCTTATATTCTGTGATCGTATTATACGGCTCAAGAATTTTCGGGACTTTCCTGTGAACATTCCCCAGGTATTCATAACCGTCTTTAGATAAAGGTCTAAATACATGGCACAGTATCCTGCAACAGCAGCAGGATACCTATCTCTTGGATCCCAAAAGTTTTTCTTCTTTTTGACTCAATCGGGAACAGATATTACACAGATCAGGGAAAATTTTCTTATAGATAGAAAACTCTTTATAATATTCATTGTGGGATTTAATCCGCTTGTTTGATCCAAGCACAAAAAAGCCAGTTGATTCTTGTCCTAAACTGAACAACACGTGACAATGGAGCTAATTTTTAGCTAGCCCATAGAAATAAATCTTACCTCCCTCAAAACTATCAATTTACTGGTTTGTTATTATTCAAATGATGCCATCACTTAAAATGCCTCTGGGACTTCTATTTGAAAACCGAGTCAGAGGCCCTGTAATGAGCCATAAAAGAAAACTAGCCTCACTCTATTACTCATAATTTCTTTCTCATTTTTGACCCAACCAGATTGCCATATTTACAGTGACAGCAGGCAAAGCAGAGTTCAGTGGCTTGTATTCCTTTGTCTCAAGTGCCAAGCACAGATGACAAAGGGAAAGAAGTTCTTTCTGCTGCTTTTGTTCACTCTCCCACCACAGCTCTTCCAAGGAGGAAGAGAGATGTCTTCTTACCAATCATTCCAGAATGGTTCCCAATTCCTCACCCATCCATCCGCACCTCCATCATTCCCGATGTGATACTCAACTCCTAGCTCATTTAAATTACCTAATTACAAATTACCTAACTTATAGAAATTAGTAGTAATTAATAATTGAGGCGACTATAAATAAGCATCAATTATATATGACATATATTTTAATTAAATGAAGATAGATGATAGATAGAGTAAATCAACAAAAACAGCATAGGTTTGAGACCTTAAAAACATACATTCAAGCTTCAGAGGCACCACTGAGTGAACCTGAGCATTCTGGTAACTCTTCAGAGCTTCCCTCAATTTCTTCACTCAGCATCTTCAATCTGACAAATCAGAACACTGGCACCTTCCTCTTAAATTAGTTGTGATAATTAAATGCATTTATGCATCAAAGGTGTTTGTCACAAGACAGTTACAAAACAGGGTTAATGAAAATACATGGACTTAAGCTGCGTTTCAAAATTGGAAATCTTACAGTTCAACGAGACCAACACACAAAATTCTTGTGTCTGAATCTTGTCTGAATCTTTTTAATGAGCCTATATTTATTGACTTTTCCAACTGAAACACACTTCATTTTATTTGATAGAACCAAAGAGAACGATTAGCACATTAGGCAAGGCTTCTTTTTTTCTCTTTGTGAAAGGTTTCCCAGTCCAAGCATTCCCTGAACACACTCCAAATGCTCCTGTAGCCCTTCACCTTCACTCCATCCTGTTGCTGAGGACAGCTCTCCTGCTGGGTGACCTACAAAGCTAACTTACAAAGAAGCGTAGGGTATTTGTACATACCTGACTAATGAGGGCATCACAATAACATGAAAGAGCAATTGCTACAGGGTAGGTGCTAAAGAATTATAGAATACTGATAACCCTGCATGGATTTGACATGTTCTACCCATCAGCTGTTTTCAACAAGGCATTCCTGGGCTTCACAGTAGCCGGAGTAGGCACACATTACCACTACGGGACAGCCTTGCCCCTGGGACACACTTTTAAGTGGTGAAACTGTCACCAGATCTCTGGATCAGTTCCAAGCTAGGGAGTCTTTAGGGTGTCCAGGTCTATCTAATCTGAGGCAAGTATTTCAACTCCCATTCCTAGACACCGTCCTGGAGGACCCATACAGCAAGTTCACAGTTGTGGCCACTTGCACTGGTGACCAGACTGTCTTCGTTCAAACTTCATTCTTCTGTGGCATTCATATTTTATTCAGAAATAAGTTTCCAAATGACCCTCCAGAGTACCTATAAAAGCGGACTTTGCAATAGTTCCAGGAATCGATGTAGAACAAAAGCAATGCTTTCAACTTTCGAATTTCCTGCCTATCCCTAAAATCAACAGCTGGGCAGCCAAAAAGTTGGGGGTGGAGGAGTGGGGCCTGGAAAGATCAGGTCGGGGCTCTATATGAGGAGTTCTGTGTACCCAGAAAACCTCAAGCCAATCTTAGGGGTTAATCAGAAGGTGGATGGCTGGGAATTCAAAGCTCTGATGTTTTACAAGTCTTTGATGAGAGTGAATAATGTTCTCATCATTGCTAGGGTTGAATCCGAAAAGAGCGTGTGGCCTAAAAATCGCCAGGGACTCTCTTAGGGATTGAGAGAAGGTAAAGGCAAAGTGGGCGAAGTCTCATCCCTCCACACAAGAACTTTGAAATTACTTTCTTTCAACTGAACAGGGCAAGTTCAACCCCCGCCGATCCCCACACCCCAGCCCTACAGCTTCTCCTTCTGACTGCTCTCCCTCCTCTGTGCTCTCCCCTATCTCTCTTCCTGCAGAACCAAATGGCCAGGCTGGGAGAAGGCCGAAAGTGCTTGGGGGATGGTAGGCAGGGAAGGGGGCTGGGGGCTGCGACGAGGAGGGAGAAGAGCGGCAAGACAGTGAAGGTAAGAGGGAGGCAGAAGACATTCTGAGAGAAGGAGGACACTCAATCTGTCATTCTCATTCTCTCTACTGGAAAAAAGAAAAACTGAATTAAAAGTTACATGACTTTAAAAAACTACCTGTCTCCGGAGTCAGTCTCTGAAGACAGCAGCGGCCACACGTCACCAGTAGGATCCCCGAGTGCCTCGGGGGTCGGAGGGCCCCGAGGGCTGGGGAAGGGACTGCTCGGGCCGGAAGGTGTCGCGGTGACTCGGCTCCGTCCGGAGCAGTCGCGCACGCCCCGCCCGGCTGGAAACCTGAAACTCGCGGGTGCCAGGCCCGGGTCCCGCCGTCCCGCCGCCGGTAAGCTACGGCCGGCGCCAAGGGGACCTTACCTCTGCCGGCAGGGCCACCTCGTCCAAACGGACGGCACCATTGAGAGGCGTGTGCTCGTCTGGCTGCCGCTCCAGCGCCGACAGCTCCAGCTGGACTACGGGCGGCGAGGGTTGGGCCGGGTCCATGGGCCGGCCGAGAAGGTCTGAGCGGCTCCGCGGGAGGCCACACCGCAGGCAGAGACCGGAGTGACTTCCCCGCCTCCTCCTCCCCCACTGGGCGGGGCGCCGCGGACCTCGGGCGGCGGGAGCGGGCCGGAGCCGACAGGAGGGGCGCGCGGTGAGTGGCGGCCACTCCCTGGATCCCGCGGGGTAGAGCACCTGAGGCCCTGCCCGCCGTGGGCTCCAGAGCCGAGGGCTGTTTTTCCGGTTTGTTCTCGGCGCTGCCTGCTATGCCTTTCCCTGCGCCTGCAGATGCAAACCATCTCAGCTTACGGTCAGCCTGGGCGTCGGTAAGGAAAGCATGGGCCCGGCCGCTCTGTCCAACCGAGGAAAATTTGCGATCTAACCCTAAGAACTGCTGGCTTGTTGGGGTTTGCCACAGTCCTCGCGGCCTAGCAAAAGGTCATTCATTCAATCAACAAATAACCATGCCTCGTGCCAGCATGGTGCTAGGTTCTGAGTATATGAAGATGAATAATACACACCAACACACTTCAAGTCCAGAGTCAGGCCCAGAGACAGTATTGTGTGGTGCTGGGGACAGCGGACTCGGGAACCAGTCTACCTGGGTTATTCTCCACCCAAAGGGTTCCTCACTGTGAGACCTCGGGCTTCAACTCTCTGTGCCAGCATCCTCACCTGGAAAGTTGGCGTAATATTTATCCTCTCCTAATGTAGTTGTTACCAGGATTGCAAGAGCTGCTGTAAGCAAAGCAGTCAGAACAGCGACTGACACAGCAAGCACCCATAAATGTTGACCATTATTATTTATCTTTGCAGGGAGGGGCCTTACAAACACACACACACACAATCTCCTTGACGCCTTAACTATAGATCAGAACTTCCGGTTTAGTTAGCCTGGGATTACATTTGCCAAGCACAGCGTGGGTTGGGCCAAGGGCCTCACCTCTCAAGCTTCTGTTCACAATAGTCCTGCTCCCTACTTCTC